TGGCCAGACGTGCCCTGATCCAGCTGGGCAGCCCGAGGTCGCTGCCTTTCCTCCCCAGTCCCAGAGACAACTGGCCAGTGCCGAGCTGCTGCTGGGGCGGCTCTGATGGGATGCTCTTTGGACCCCTTCCAGGGCAGCTCAGGGCAGCAGCGTGATGGTGGGAAAGAGAATCGTGTTCTCCTGCGTGGGAGTTTGTGTCGGTGGGGCAGCAGCAAACGAGCCAAAAAAGGCAGCTGCGATGGGCGCCTGCCTGCAGGGACTGGGAACTGCTCCCCTGAGGAAGGCTGTCCAGGGAGGTTTCTTGCAGATGTGTGACAAGTATCGGCATGATCTAAAGATTTGAGAGCAGAGCTCCATCCTAGAGGATCTGCTCTGCAGAATGAGCTTTCTCATCCCCTGAAATTAACTCTTCCCACCCCAAACCAGTCCTAGATGTTCTAAAGCAGCGGCAGGGCTGCTGTACTTAGAGGGGTTAATCCTGCTTCTCCCTCCCCACAGGCTTTTGTGCCTGGTCCGTAGGAGTCTGGGTCCTGGCCAGACACTGCATGGTGCCATATGGAATCCTCCACCTGTTTGGGGGATTTTCCTCCCCAATCCTGGTGGCTTGCCCAGACCTGGCCGCCTTTCCTTGCTTCTCATCGCAGGTTGGCAGCATCAGTTCTCGAGCTGGCATAGTCCCGCTGGCAGGCAAAGCCCCAGAGCCAGCTCAGAAGGAAGGTGGTCCTGTGTAGAACATCTCTTGCCAACGTGGCCTCAACCCAAAGTCGTGGGGCTGGAGCAGAATCTCAGCCTGTGGAGACTCAGCAATCCGGCTGCCTCTCTGGCATCCCTCACCAGCCCTGGCATCGTAAACTTCTCCCCAGCAGTATTGCTTCTCGGAAGGGAGCGTAGGCGATGCTCTGTCTCACACTGGGAACCACTGGGTAGCTGACTTGACACAGCTCTCTCATCAGGAAGGCGAGAATTGGCTGCTTTGGGCCAGTATTTCTACAAAAGGGATGGAGTGAGAGGTCCGCTGTTCTTCTAACTGCATCTCCACTGCTTCCATGACAGGACCGTGGGTGGCAGCAGCAGCAGAAGCGACCTCCAGGCCGCTCTCCGGCCGTCACGAACCCACAGGTATGCCTTGTGGGTCTCGGCAGCTCCAATGGCTTTCCTGTCCAGGTTCTCCAGGAATGGCACCAGGTCACCGAGCCGAAGCTCGCGGGAAGAGCGCAACAACCACCCCATCCTCAGCGTCTTCGAGCTCGAAAGGCTGCTGTACACGGGAAAGACAGCCTGTAACCATGCTGATGAGGTCTGGCCAGGACTCTACCTGGGTGATCAGTATGTATCAGAAGGGGGCACAAACTGGAGGGTTCAGGGTATTTTTGTGAAATGGGAAAACCTGGGAGGGGGAGGTTGGGAAATGTGAGGGAAAGGACGGCATGATGGGTGTGATCCATTGGGACAAAGGAAGAGGAAGGACGTGAGCGTGGCTGTGCAGAGAGTTCAGAGCACTGCCATGGTGGGGCAGACGGAGGTGGTGCCCCCGTGGAGTCAGGGACTGTGAGAGTGACTTAAAATTCAAGAATCTTAAGAGCCGGGCATTTTTCTTTTGCATACTGTCCTCGGAAACTTTTGTTTAACTAGTCTAAGCTTACACATCCCTGCTTTTTTTCTTACTCTCTGCAGAGATATAGCAGCCAACCGGCGCGAGCTGGCTCACCTGCGCATCACCCACGTCCTCAACGCCTCGCACAGCAAGTGGAGGGGGGGTGCCGAGTACTACGAGGGCACGGGCATCCGCTACCTGGGCATCGAGGCCCACGACTCACCTTCCTTCGACATGAGCCCCTACTTTTATCCTGCAGCTGACTTCATCCACCAAGCGCTGAATGAAGGTCGGTGATAAAGATTTCCGGGAGGGAAGTGGGGAGCAGGGATGGGAAGAAACTGCCCTGTGCTGGTGGGAAGCTGGATTGACATCCTAGTGCTAAGCATCCTAGAAAACCAAGGTATTTCTAGCCTGGGATGGTGTCTTCTGCACTGGATTACCTCCTCCAAAGAGGGAACAGGCTTGATGAGAGCACTGGCCCCCCAGGTCACAGCCCAAACCTGTGTCCTGAGCTGTGGCTGGTCCTCTTCAGTCTGTTTTGGGAGATCCCAATGCACTGATACCCTTTGCCAAGAGGGGGACCTCAGTGCA